TTCCCGACCTTGAGTAAGAGTTGCCAACTCGACATTCTACCAGAGATAGTTTTTAACCTCAATCCAAATGACTAACCATGGACTTTAATAAATTTTCATAGAAAAATTATTTGATTTTCATGCAAAAGTTGTTGTTTAAATCTTTTTTGTTCTTTTTAACATGCAAAAGAGATTTTGTTTTATTTTCATAAATATTTTTGTAAAGCCATATAGTCCACAGGTTAGTCACTCTAATTGTGCTAGAACTACTGACACTCTAAGAGTGTCGAGGGCAACAAACCCACCAAGGGTCGGCGAATAGCATCATCGATCATTTCCTCTCTTTTATAGAAGATCCTTGAAGTAGGAGATATTATTCTAATAATCTCACTTCACATCCCTCGTTTAAGCACACATAAGCAATATCGTCATCGCCGTCTCCACTTAGACCCTAGACTTATCCTAATCGGATGATCCATATATGGCATTAACAAATTTCTCCAATTGTTAGAAGAACTTGAGTTAATATCAAATCTCAAATGCCAGTGCACTGGGTTTCATTATAAGTTAAGTCATTGAGGGAATTTCACTGTTGATTAATTTAAGGAAGCATGGGTCACGCTTGGTGTATCATGTCTAATGTCTTAGTCAGTTTGTGAATTAGGGTCAAGTGTCTAGTTTCACTGTGCATTCGAGGATTAGGTGAATGGACTCTTACCTAGGGTATGCTCCTAAAATCTTGGGAGGTTACACTGCAAAGATTAGGTAGATGGGCTCTCACCTAGGGTGTACTCCTAAAGTCTAGGAAACCTACTCTTTAACTTATGCTTAAGGTGATTTAATGTTTTCTATATCTTCTAATTAGTTAAATCATCAATCCCCGTCTTTATGACTTAACCATTTAATAAAAACAGCAAAACAAACGACAAGAAAAGGTTGATCCATTTTCAAAACTAACAAATCAAACGAGGAAATGACAAGTGAATCAACCTAAAGAAAAAAAAAATGTGTGAAATCTTTCAACAACTGTAATTAAATGAACTCTCAAGTAGAGTATTTAAGTTTGTTCCAAAACAATGTTTTGATCGGCCCGGATGTTCCACAATTCAGAGTAAAAAATAAAGCTCAAAAAGCCACTACATAAATTAACAAAGTGCAGCCCAAAAGCCACAAAACGGAACAAAAAAAAATACAACCCACAATGACACTTTCAAACAACAACATATAGTTTTCAACGACTTCAAACAGTCATTTTTACAATTCTGAATAACAACCTATAGCTCAAAATGATTCAATATAAAGGTTTAAATCATATGATTGTTTCAATGATAACAGTGCTTGGTTTCAACACAAGAGCAAAAGCTATAACATATCCAAATGTAGATCTATGAACAAGAACTTTCAATTTCTCACATTGACATGAATAGTAAAACAGTGGATAGTTTTCAAAGCAAGAAGGTTGCATTAAATTGTGAAGTGTTCGTAAGCAATCCTTGTGACGTTTATACCATTAGCAGCGGCAAAAAAAGATAGATCTTAGAATAACACAATTGCAGAAGACTGTGAATTCTTATAAAGTGCTCAAGAAATGATAATCAACAGTTAAAATCAAGTATCAATGAACATATAACATGTAAAATTTACTGTCATTCAGAAATACGCTCATTAGATGCACAAGATTTTTGTTGTGGTGTATAATTCAAATATATCACGCCTTGAAAATCAATTTTGTGACGTCAAATAGAATTGGAAGGGAATAACATAAATCTTATCTTGAAATCACTATTATGATTAAGCTCATCAAATATCAACTCAAAAATCCTCAAATAAAAAAAATCGTAGTCAAAAGGAGCAAATAATTGGAGTCTCGAACAAGTTAACCTGCTAGAAATCCTACTCCCAAAACCTCAACAAAATTTAATATATTATCTTCAACAAACATATTTACCTCAATAAATGGTTTCTGATAGGAACAGAAGAACAGGAGCAAAAGTCAGTAAGATCGATGTATGTATGTAATTTGTACAGTGATATTGATGTTGCCTTCCCCGCTGCAGCTGACGGACAGGATTTCCTTCCTCTGTGAGTTCGGTTAGGAGTTGTACAGCATGA